TTTGCATCCATTACTAATTTTGGTCTTGTCATTTGCTTCCGTTATTTTTGTGTCTTGTCATTTGCTTCCGTTATTTTTTGTGTCTTTTCATTTATTTCCGTTATTTTGTGTCTTGTCATTTGCTTCCGTTATTATTTTGTCTTTTCATTTGCTTCATTATTTTGTGTCTTTTCATTTGCTGTGTATTGTAATAGCATCATTTACTTCCATTAATATTTATGTCTTATCATTTACTTCGTATTATTTATGTCTTCATTTACTTCGTATTAATTTGTGTCTTGTCATTTAATTCCATTATTATTTGTGTCTTTTCATTTACTTCCGTATTTTGTGTCTTTCATTTGCTTATTAATTTGTGTCTTGTCATTTCTTCCATTATTATTTGTATTTTCATTTTACTTCCATTAACTAATTTATGTATCATTTACTTCCATTATTATTTTGTGTCTTTTCATTTATTTATTAATTGTATGTATTTACTTCGTTATTATTTGTGTCTTGTCATTTTACTTCCATTATTATTTGTGTCTTTCATTTACTTCATTATTAATTTGTCTTGTCATTTGAAATTCCATTATTATTTGTGTCTTTCATTGCTTCCGTTATTATTTGTGTCTTTCATTTGCTTCATTATTAATTTGTGTCTGATCATTTACTTCCATTATTATTTTGTGTCTTTTCATTACTTCATTATTAATTGTATCTTATCATTTACTTCCATTATTATTTTGTCTTTTTCATTTGCTTCATTAATAATTGTATTTTCATTTTATATTATTTGTCTTGTCATTTGCTTCGTTAATATTTTATTGTCTTTTCATTTGCTTCCATTATAAATTTGTGTGTCATTTGCCTACATTATTATCTTTGTCTTTTTTTTGCTTTTCACTTATTAATTTGTGTCTTCTTCATTTCTTTCTTTTCTTTGTGTCTTTTCATTTCTTCATTATTAATTTCTGTCTTTTCTTTTTTCATTTTGCTTTTTATTTTGTGTCTTTCATTTGTTTCCATTTTAATTTTGTTTACATTTGCTTCTTTTTCTTTCATTTTCTTTTCTTTCTTGTCTTTCCATTTACTTTTTATTAATTTATGTCTTGTCATTTTCTTTCTTTTCTTTCTTTCTTTTTCATTTCTTTCTTTCTTTCTTTCTTTCCATTGCTTCCTTTTATTTTAATGTCTTGTCATTTTCTTTCTTTCTTATTTTGTGTTCTTTTCATTTGCATCATTTAATTTTGTCTTGTCATTTCTGTCATGTCTTGTCATTTGCTGCATTATTATTTTTCTTTCATTTTTGCTTTTCCTTGTCCTTTACTTCTTTTATTTTCTTTCTTTTCATTTTCTTCTTTATTTTTTTTCTTTTCATTTTTCAGTAATTTGTCTTGTCATTCCCTTCACATCTTCTTTCTTTCTTTTACTTCCATTATTTTTTTGTCTTTCTTTTTCTTCCTTTCATTTTGTCTTGTCATTTTCCTTTCTGCATTAAATAATGTCAATTGTCATTTTAATTTCTGCATTGAATAATGTCACTTGTCATTTTGCTTTTCTAAAATAAAATGTCATTTGTTTTTTTACTTTCTGCATTAAATAATGATCACTTGTCATTTTACTCTGCATTAAAAATTTCACTTGTCATTTTGCTTTCTGCATTAAATAATGACACTTGTCATTTTACTTTCTGCATTAAATAATGTCACTTGTCATTTTGCTTTGAGGTATTAAATAATGTCATCTCTTTTAGGTTTCGGCATTATAGAATGATACTTGTCATTTACTTTCGGCATTAAATAATGTTATTTTTCAATTCTTCCGACATTAAATTATATACTTGCCATTTACTGTCGGCATTAAATAATTGTCACTTTTCATTTGCTTGCATTAAATAATATCACATTTTTAGCATGCATTAAGCCATTAACTTGTCATTTAGCATAGTTTCTGCATTAAATAATATCACTTGTCATTTAGCTTTCTGCATTAAATAATGACACTTGTCATTAGCTTTCTGCATTAAATAATGTAATTTGCTTTCATTTTGCATTCAGCATTAAATAATGTCACTTGTCATTTTGCTTTCGACAATAAATAATGACACATGACGTTTTAGTTTCAGTAAATAATATTGTTGTCATTTTTGCATCAATCATTAAATAATATCATTTGTTGTTTAGGTTTCAGCATTAATTAATGTCACTTTTCATTTGCTCTGCATTAAATAATGCCACTAGTTATTTTGGTTTCTGCATTAAATACACAAACTTGACATTTTCTTCCTACATTAAATAACATGTCCATTTTTCCTTTCTGCATTAAATGTGACATTGTCATTTAGGTTTCTGCATTAAATACTGACACATCATTTTGTTTTTTTTTAAATAATGACAATTGTCATTTGACATTAAATAATGTCACTTGTCATTTCTCCTTTTGTCATTAAATAATGCAACTTGTTGCAACTTTTTAACTTTTCTGCATTAAATAATGCAACTTGTCATTTACTTTGTGCATTAAATAATGACATTTATCATTTATCTTTCTACATTGAATAATAACACTTGTTATTAGCTTTCTGCATTAAATAATCACTTGTCATTTTGCTGTCTTTAAATCATATCACTTGTCATTTTGCTTTCTGCATAAAAAAATATCACTTGTCATTTACCTTTCTGCATTTAATAATGACGCATTTTTTGCTTTCTGCTTTAAATAATGACAATTGTCATTTAGCTTTCTGCATTAAATAATATCACTTGTCTTTTAACTTTTTGCATAAAATAATAGCCTTATCATTTGCTTTCTGCATAAAAAAATCACTTGTCATTTGCGTTCTGCATTAAATAATGACACATGTCATTTGCTTTGCATTAAATAATGTCACTTTTCATTTACTTTCTGCATTAAATAATGACACTCGTCATTTTGTTTTCTGCATTAAAATGTCACTTGTCATTTGCATTCTGCATTAAATAATGGAACTTTCATTTTGCTTTCGGCATTAAATAATGACATTTGTCATTTTGCTTTCATTATTAAATAATATCTTGTCATTTTGCTTTCTGCATTCAATAATGACACTTGTCATTTATCTTTATGGATAAAAATACACCTGTTATTTAGCTTTCTCACATTAAATAGTCACTTGTCATTTGCTGTCTTCATTAAATAATGTCACTTCTCGTTTGGCTTCCTGCATTAAATATTGGCACATATAATTTAGCTTTTCTGCATTAAATAATGTCACTTATGATTTAGCTTTATGCATTAAATAATGATGACCTTGCAGTTAACTTTCTGCATTAAATAATGTCACTTGTCAATTAGCTTTCGGTATTAAATAATGACAGCAGCAGTTAGCTTTCGGAATTAAATAATGTCACTTGTCATTTTGCTTTCTGAATTAAAAAATGTCACTTGTCATTTTGCTTTCTGCATTAAATAATTAATATCGCATTTTTTCCTTCCTGGTTTAAATAATGGCCTTATCATTTACCTTTTGCATTAATAATGTCCTTATCATTTTTAACTGCATTAAATAATGTCATTTGTCATTTTTCCTTCTACATTAAATAATGTAATTTGTCAATTGGTTTCTGCATTAAATAATGTCACTTGTCATTTAGCTTTCTCTGCGATAAATAATGTCACTTATCATTTAGCTTTCATTAAATAATGACACTTGTCATTTTCTTTCTGCATTAAATATGACACTTGTCATTTTTTTTCTGCGTGTTAAATAATGACACTTGTCATTTTTCTTTCTGCATTAAATAATGTCACTTGTCTTTTTGCTCTCCTTTACATAATGTCACTTGTCATTTTGCTTTCGTTTGCTCTGCAAAAAATGACACTCGTCATTTTTGCTTTTCTCATTAAAATGATACTTGTCTTTTGTCATTCTGCTTTCTTAATCTCTTGTCCACTTGTCTTTTTGCATTAAATGCATTACATAATCTCCTTGTCATTTTGCTTTTCATTTTGCATTAAATAATGACATTTATCATTTAATTTCTGCATTAAATAATATCTCTTTTCATTTGCTTTCTTTCATTAAATAATATCTTGTCATTTTGCTTTCTGCATTAAATAATGTGACTTGTCATTTCTTTCTCTTTTTACATAATGTCACTTGTCAGTTTGCTTTTTGCATTAAATAGTAGCCAAACGTCATTTTGCTTTCTGCATTAAATGTCTCTTGTCATTTGCCCTCCTGCATTAAATAATGACACTTGTCATTTGCTTTTCTCCTTTACATAATGTTCTTTCATTTTGCTTTTCCTTCATATCTGTCATCTTCTTTCTTTCTTTCTTTCTTTCATTTTGCTTTCTTCCATATCTATTATTTTGTCTTTCTTTTCTTTCTTTTATTTTTCTTATCATTTTTATTATTATTTTGTCATTTAGCTTTTCTTTTCATTTAAATTCTTTCTTTCATTTGTCTTTTTCTTTTTATTAATTTGTATTTCATTTCGGCATTAAATTTTGTCTTTCACTTTTCCATTTCCTTTCATTCCCGTAAATCTTTTTTCCTTTGCTTCGTTATTTTGTATCTTCCTTTTCTTATTTTTGTTTCTTTCATTTGCTTTTATTATTTTGCCTCCTGTCATTCCATTTCTTTCTTTCTTTTCATTTCTTTCTTTCTTTCTTTGTGTCTTTTTCATTTACTTCCATTATTAATTGTGTCTTGTCATTTCTTTTCTTTATTTTGTGTCTTTTCATTTTTCTTCATTATTTTTTTGTCTTTCATTTGCTTTTCCATTAATAATTTGTGTCTTCTTTTCTTTTCTTTTATTTTTCTTTTCATTTTTCCTTTTAATTTGTGTGTCATTCTTCCCACATTATTATTTTATTTCTGTTGCTTCCTTTCTTTTTTTGTCTTTCATTTGCTTCTTTCATTTTGTCTTTTCATTTACTTCATTATTATTTTCGTTCTTTTCATTTCTTCCATTTAAATTTTTCTCTTATTTACTTCCATTAATATTTTGTCTTTTTCATTTCTTTCATTTATGTCTTTCATTTCCTTCCTATCCATTTTGTTTCTTTTCATTTACTTCCTTTTCTTTCTTACTTTCTTTCTTTGTCTTTCATTTACTTTGCTTTTGTGTCACTGTCATTTTCTTTTATTTTGTGTCTTGTCATTTCTTCCATTATTATTTTTTTCTTTCTTTCTTCCTTTTAATTTGTCTTTTCATTTTCTTTCTTGCATCTTTTTTGCTTTCTATTTAACTTCCGTTATTATTTCCCTGTCATTTTCTTTCTTGATAATTTTCTTTCCTTTAGCTTTTTCTTTTTTCTTTCTTTCTTTCATTTTATTTTTGTCTTTCATTTATCCCTATAATTTAATGTCTTGTCATTTTTCTTCGTTATTATTTTTCTTTCTTTCATTTTTTTTCTCTTTTCGTTATTATTTTTGTCTTTTCTTTCTTTCTTTGTGTCTTTGTCTTTTCCTTCGTTATTATTTTGTGTCTTTTCATTTATTTACATTATTTTTTTCCTCATTGCTTCGTTAATGTTGTGTGTCTTATCATTCTTTCCATTTGCTTTTCCTTCTTTTCTCATTTGCTTTATTTTTAATTTCTTTCTTTCATTCTGATTCATTTTATTTTCTGTCTTTCATTTTGCTTTCCTTCCATATGTCTATCATCTTCTTCCATTATTAATTTTGTCTTTCATTTTTCTTTGTCTTTCTTTCTTTTCATTTTTCCTTCCATTATTGTCCTGTGTCTTTTCATTTTTTTCTTTAATTTTTCTTTCTTTTCTTCTTTATTTTTTTTGTCTTTTCATTTTTCCTTATTATTTTGTGTCTTTTTCTTTTCATTTTCTTTCTTTCTTTCATTTCTTTGTCTTTTCATTTGCTTTTAATTAATTTGTCCCTGTCATTTGCTTCCGTTCTTTATTTTGTTTCTTTCTTTTCATTTTTGCTTTTCCTTCAGTATTATTTTGTCTTCTTTTCATTTACTTTCTTTCTTTGTGTCTTTCTTTTCCTTTTATTTTTGTCTTGTCATTCCCTTCATCTTCATTATTTTGTTTTCTTTCTTTCTTTCTTTCTTTCTTTCTTTCTTCCTTATTATTTTGTGTCTTTTCATTTTCCTTTCATTTACTTCATTATTATCTTCTCTTTTCATTTTCTTCCTTTTCTTTCATTTCTTTTATTTTTGTCTTTCTTTCTTTTCTTTCCATTTTCATTTGCTTCCATTATTAATTTGTGTCTTCTTTCTTATTTTTGTTTCTTTCATTTTGCTTTTATTAATTTCCTTGTCATCTTCTTTATTTTTTGTGTTTTCATTTGCTTCTTTCTTTATTTTCTGTCTTTTCATTTCCTTCCATTATCATTTTCTTTCATTTCTTTCGTTATTATTTGTGTCTTTTCATTGTTTCCTTATTAATTTGTGTCATCATCCTCTTCCTTTATTATTTTTGTCTTTTCATTGCTTCCATTTTATTTTGTCTTTTCATTGCTTCATCTTAATTTATTATCTTTCATTTACTTCGTTTTATTTTGTGTTTTACTTTTTCATTATTAATTTGTGTCTTGTCATTTCTTTCTTTCTTTCTTTGTGTCTTTTCTTTCTTCCTTTCTTTATTTTGCTTTCTTGTCATTTGCTGTCATATTATTTTTGTCTTTTCAACACTTTCTTTATTTCTTTTCTTTTCTTTTCATTTTCATTTTTATTTTTGTCTTTTGTTTCCCTTCCCGTTATTAATTTGTGTCTTGTCATTTGCTTTCTTTCTTATTTTGTGTCTTTTCTTTTTCTTCCTTTATTAATTTTCCTTCTTGTCATTGTCTTCCTTTCTTTCTTTCTTTCTTTTCATTTTGCTTTTCATTGTTGTGTCTTGTTCTTTCTTTTCTTTCTTTTTTTGTGTCTTTTCATTTGCTTCAGTGTATTTGTGTGTCTTTTCATCTTCTTCCTTTTAATTTCTTTTCATTTTGCTTCGTTATTATTTTTGTTTCATTTTGCTTCATTATTAATTTGTCATCATCATTTTGATTCCATTTTATTTTCTTTCTTTCATTTTGCTTTTTATTATTTTGTGTCTTTTCTTTCTTTACATTATTAATTTGTGTCTTTTTTTCTTTCTTTCTTTTTTTTCATTTTCATTTGCTTCCATTATTATCTTCTTTCTTTCTCTTTTCTTTTCTTTTATTTTGTGTCTTTTCTTTCATTATTTATTCTTCCATTATTATTTTTATATTTCCTTCCGTTAAATTATTTTGTGTCTCATTTTACTTTTCATGTGTGTCTTTTCTTTCTTTCATTTTCTTTCTTTCTTTATTTTATTTCTTTCTTTTCTTTTCCTTCCTTATTATTTTGTTTCATTTTCTTCCTTTCTTTTTTGTCTTTCTCTTTTTCTTTCATTTTATTTTTCTTTATTTATACATTATTAATTTGTGTCTTGTCATTTGCATCATCTTCTTTTGTGTCTTTTCTTTCTTTCATTATTAATTTGTTTCTTTTCTTTCTTTCATTTTATTTTTTCCTTGTCATTTAGCTCTTCTTATTTTCTTTCTTTTTTCTTCTTCCTTTATTTGTTTCTTTCATTTCTTTCTTTTATTTTGTGTCTTTTCATTCCCTGTCATTATTCTTTTGTGTCTTTCATTTTACTTCCATTTTTATTTCTGTCTTTTCATTTACTTTCCATTATTAATTTGTGTCTTGTCATTTTCTTTCTTTATTTTTTGTCTTTCATTTTCTTTATTTGTGTTTCTTTCTTTTCTTTCTTTCTTTCATTTCTTCATTTTATTTTTGTCTTTCATTTCTTCATAACCTTTTTATTTTCTTTCATTTCTTTCGTTTTATTTTCTTTCTTTTCATTTGCTTTCTTTCTTTCTTTGTCTTTTCATTTCCTTTCCTTTATTATTTTTAATGTCTTCTTTCTTTTTTCTTTCTTTATTAATTCTTTTCTTGATTCTTTCTTCTTTTATTTTTTGTTTCTTGTGTTTGCTTCCATTATTCTTTCTTTCTTTCATTTGCTTTCTTTATTTTTTTCTTTCATTTTGCTTTTATTATTTTTGTGTCTTGTCATTTTCTTCCATTTTATTTTCTTTCTTTTCATTTGCTTTCATTTTTAATTTCTGTCTTGTCATTTGCTTCATTCTTCTTTTCTTTCTTTTCTTTCTTTTCTTATTAATTTTGTCTTGTCATTTCCTTCGTTATTATTTTTTCTTTTCATTTCTTCCATTATTATTTTGTTTTCTTTTCATTTATACATTAATGGTAATGTCTTGTCATTTACTTTTAATTTTTTTCTTTTCATTTCTTTCTTTAATTTTGTCTTTTCATTTGCTCCCTGTCTTCGTTTTTTCTTTCTTCTTTCTTTCTCTTTTTTTCTGCTCATTTCTTTCCATTTTATTTTTTTTGCATTTTACTTCCGTTGTTAATTTCTTTCTTTTCATTTACTTTCTTTATTATTTTCTTTCATTTTCATTTTACTTCCATTATTAATCTTGTCTTTCATTTGCTTCCGTTATTATTTGTTTCTTTTGCTTTTCCTTCATTATTATTTGTCTTCTTTATTTCTTTCTTTCTTTTTATATCTTTCATTTCTTTTCCTTTCTTTCTTGTCTTTTCATTTGCTTTTATTATTTTGTGTCTTTCATCATCTTTCTTTTCTTTTTTTGTCTTATCTTTTGCTTCCATTATTAATTCATCTTCTTTCTTTTCCCTTCCATTATTATTTGTGTCTTTCATTTACTTCCATTATTAATTTGTGTTGTCATTTCCCTATTCATCATTTTTTCGTCATTTTTCCGTTATTATTTGCAATGTTACCATTTCCATTATTATTTTGTCATCTTTCTTTTTCCATTCTTTCATTTACTTTTATTATTTCTTTCTTATCTTTTACTTCATTATTATTTGTGTCTTTCATTTCTTCTATTTCTTCTTGTCTTTCATTTTTCGTTATTATTTTTTGTCTTATCTTTTTCTTTTATTTTATTTTCCTTTGCTTCCATGTGTCTTCTGTCTACTTTTTCATTTTATTTTGTGTCTTTTCATTTTACTTTCTTTATTTTGCTTTTCTTATCATTGCTTCGTTATTATTTCGTGTCCTTTTATTTTTTTGTTTTCATTTTCTTTCATTATTATTTTGTGTCTTTTATTTTTCTTTGTGTCTGTCCTTCCATTATCCCTATCTTGTCATTTACTTCCCGTTATTTTTTACTGTCTTGTCATTTTGCTTTCTTTCTTTCTTTCTTTCATTTGCTTTTTATTTTATGTGTGTCATTGCTTCCATTTCTTCTTTCTTTCTTACTTGTCTTTCCTTTCTTCGTTTTATTTTGTCTTCTTTCTTTCTTTTTTTTCTCTCATTTTTTCTTTTCTTTCATTTACTTTTGTCTTTTCATTTGTCTTCTTTCTTTAATTTCTGTCTTTCTTTCTTTCTTTCTTTCTTTCTTTCTTTCTTTTCATTTTGCTTTTCGTTATTATTTTATCATTTCTTTTTTATTTTATGTCATGTATTTCTTTCTTTAATTTGTCTTATCTTTTGCTTCACTTTATCATCTTTATTTTGTCTTTTCATTTTTTCTTTCTTTCTTTCTTTTCATTTCTTTCTTTATTTTTTTTGTCCTTCATTTCCTTCATCTATTCTTTCTTTTCTTTTTTCTTTCTTAATTTTTCTTTCATTTACTTCTTTATTATTTTTGTCTTTTCCTTTATTTGTGTCTTGTCATTTCTTTCTTTCTTTCTTTCTTTTCATTTTTCATTCTTAGTTGTGTCTTTCTTTCTTTTCTTTCATTGTACTTTTCCCTTAATTTGTGTCTTCATTTAGCCATTATTTTGTGTCTTTCTTTGCTTCCTTTCTTTCTTTCTTTCTTTAATTTTCCTTGTCATATCCATTATTATTTGTGTCTTTCTTTCTTTCGTTAAAACTATTTTCATTTACTTTTAATTTTCTTTCATTTTAATAATTTTTCCTTCATTTACTTCCATTAGTCTTCTTTCTTATCATTTTCTTTCTTTCTTTTTTTCTTTTCATTTTGCTTTTCTTCTTAATTTGTGTCTTCTTTTTCATTAATTTGTTTCTTTCTTCCGTTTTTATTTTTTATCTTTTCATTTTATATCCATTATTCTTCTTGTCCTTCCATTTCTTTCATTTTGCTTTTTGTCTTGTCATTTACTTCCATTATTATTTGTGTCTTTCATTACTTCGTAATAATTTCTTTCTTTTCTTTGCTTCCTTTATTATTTTGTGTCTTTTTTCTTGTGTCTTTCCATTTACTTTTCCTATTTGTGTCCTTGTCATCTTTTCTTCTTTTAATTTCTTTCTTTCATTTTTCTCTTTCATTTTAATTTTTTCCTTCCTTCCGTTATTATTCTTCTTTTCATTTCTTCTTTGTCTTTTCATTTCCTTCGTTATTATTTTGTGTCTTTTATTTGCTTCATTCTTTCTTTCTTTCTTATCATTTTTCCTTATTATTTCCTGTCTTTTCTTTCTTTCATTCTTTCTTTCTTTCTTTTCTTTCTTTCTTTCTTTCATTTCTTTCTTTATTTTTGTCTTTTCATTTCCATTATTATTTGTGTCTTGTCTTTACTTCGTGTGTGTTTTCTTTCTTTTTCCATTATTAATTTGTGTCTTGTCTTGTGTCTCTGTCTTTTCTTTCTTTCTTTTATTTTTCTTTCATTTACTTCCATTAATATTTTGTTTTCATTTGCTTTCTTATTTTATATATTTACTTCCTTTATTAATTTCTTTCTTTTCATTGCTTCATTTTATTTTGTTTCTTTCATTCTCTTCTTTTCTTTCTTTCATTTGCTTCATTAATGGTTTCTTTTATTTTCTTTATTTTTCTTTCATTTTCTTCCATTTTCTTTCTTTCATTTGCTTTCATTTATTTATCCCTGTCAATCTTCTTTCTTTCTTGTCTTTCATTTGCTTCGTTCTTTCTTTGTTTCTTTTCATTTTCTTCCATATCTTCATTCTTCTTTATTTTTCTTTCTCTTGTTTCTTTCTTTTCTTCCTTTCTTTCTTTCATTTTGCTTTTCCTTAATATTATTTGTGTCTTCCCTGTCATCTTCAATTTTGTCTTTTGCTTTTCTTTCTTTCTTTCTTTCTTTTGCTTTTCCTTTGTGTCTGTCATTTTCTTCTTTATTATTTTTTCTCTTTTCATTTTACTTCCATTATTAATTTTGTCTTTTCATTATTTCCTAATGTTGTGTCTTGTCATTTTCTTTTATTATTTTGTTTCTTTTCTTTCTTTCATTGTCTTTCATTTACTTTCCATTAATATTTTGTCCCTTTCATTTACTTCGTATTTTGTGTCTTTCATTGCTTCATTTATTTTTTCTTCCATTTGCTTCATTTTCTTTCTTTTCTTTCATTTACTTCATTACTTTTCTTTCATTTCTTCCATTATCTTCTTTCTGTCTTTTCATTTTACTTTCTTTTATTTTGTCTTGTTATCCATAATATTTCTTTCTTTCTGTTTTACTTCGTTTTAATTTGTCTTGTCATTGCTTCCATCTTCTTTTCTTTCTTTTCATTTGCATCATTATTAATTTTGTCTTTCATTGCTTCCTTTCTTTCTTCTTTTCATTTGCTTTTCCTTCCCTTGTCCTTTGTCGTTCTTCTTTTGTGTCTTTCATTGCTTCGTATTATTTGTGTCTTTCTTTCTTTCTTTCTTTTCTTTTCATTTCTTCCCTTTTGCTTTTTCCTTCATTTTATACATTTTAATTGTGTCTTTGTTTCTTCCATTATTTTTATATTTTCTTTATTTGTTATTAATTTTGTTTTGTCCTTTACTTCGTTATTATTTTGTATCATTCTTCTTTATTTCTGCTTTCATTTTTCTTTTTTTTTGTATCTTGTCTTTTGCTTCATTCCCATATTTGTGTCTTTTCATTTCTTCTTTTTCTTTCTTTCTTCCTTTGTGTCTTTTCTTTGCTTCCATTTTTAGACATTTTGCTTTTCCTTGTCTTTTCATTTGCTTCAATTAATTCTTCTTTTATCATTTACTTCCTTATTATTTTGTGTCTTGTCATTTGCTTCCTTAATTTCTGCATCTTTCATTTGCTTGTTTTGTCTTATCATTTCACCATTGAAAATGGCTGTGTCTTTTC